GAGGCGGGACTTCCGGCTGGCGCCGCCTGCGAAGAGCTCGGCGGCAGGCTGAGACGCGGGTGGCTGGCGATGGCCGCGGAGAGGGCCGCCTGGGGCCAGGCTTACGAAGGCAGACGGAAGGCGGTGGCCGAAGAGCCGCGCTCTTGCGGTGCGCATGCTGTGTGTCTCGCGCCCGCCTGTCCCGCCGCCATCACCACCCTGCAAGGTAGGAACGGTCAGCGCGCCAGAGCTGTGGGGACAGGACCCGGGTTCGAATCCCGGCCCCGACGTTTCCGCACTACGTGCCGTTGGGCAGAGGCTAACGTCACCTCGCGGGGCCTCAGTTTCCTTGTCTGGTGTAGTGAGGCGGGGGGGACGGGACGTGGTCAGTGTTCCATCTTTGTTGACTGTTAGTGCAGGCGGGTTCCCAGAGGCACAGCCCAACATCCATTCATTAAAATTTAATTAAGCTCCTACTGTGTGTCAGTCATTGTATGGGCAGTGAATAGGCGAAAACACCTGCCTGTTTGGCTGACATTCTAGACTGCCTCTGTCCAATACAAATATAAGCATATTTAAAATTTTACTGACAGCTGGTATTCTAGACCAGCACTGTCCGTGAGAAATAGAAGCGAACCACAAATGTTAAGTCACAGGCATAATTTAAAATTTCTAGTAGCCATGTTTTAAAAAAGTAAAAAGGAACAGGTGATGTTAATTTTTATGTTTTTTGAAACCCAGTTTGTGTCCAAACTGTTATTTCAGCATGTAACCCATATAAAAATTATGGGATGTTTTTACATTTTCCTTTTTTCTTTACTTTACATGCCTGTGAAATCTGGTGTGTCTTTTATGCTTACAGCAGGTCTGAACTTGGACTGGCTGCATTCCAAGGGCTCAGCAGTCAGAGTTTCTGTGGCTACTGGACTGGGCTGTGTAGTGCTGGACGGAGAGGTAGAAAAGAAATCGAGCAGATTCTACCCCAAATGCTGAAAAAATGGTAAGATGAAAGTAGATTGGACATAGGGCACAGGTGAGGAGGGTAGAGGTTTCAATTTGAAACGGGGGCTGTCAGGAAGGTTGAGAAGGTAGGATTTGCAGAAGGAGTCAAGATCACTGAACAAATAATCATGTCATTTATTGTTTTGTGCAGTGTTTGTCCAATAGAACTTTCTGTGGCATCTTTTTAATAAGCAGTGTCTGATTTATTAGCCACTAGCTCCTTGTGGCTTTGGAGCACTTGACATATCGCTAGTGCCACTGAAGAACTGAGTTTTTAATATACTTAAATTAATGTTTCCTTAATGTAAATTTGGTCACCTAGAACTTGTGGCTCCCATAGTGTGCAGCACAGATTTAGTAGAATGGTGAGAAGTCCTGCACTCTGAATGGAGCTTGTACTGTGTGCTCAGTGCTGTCTGTGGATTCTGTGGAGTCCTCACAGACTCTGTAAGACGGGCGCTCTAATCATTGTCACCATGATGAATAATGACGTCTTTGATTCATTCGTCTATGCTTTGTGCTTGTTATCATTAATATACTTTATTCTTTTTTAGAAGAGTTTTAGACTTACAGAAATATTGCACAGAAAATACAGTTACTATTTTCTCTACACGCAGTTTTCCATCTTTATAACACCTTTCATTAGTACGATATATTTGTTTGGTCATTTGTATGATACAGTATCACTACATCACTGTCAACCACAGTTTATTTAATTTCCTTTGTTTTTACCTAATGTCTTTTTTCTCTTCCAGAATCCCATCCAGGATACCACATTTCATTCGTTGTTTCCCTTCTCTCTCTCTCTCTCTTTACCTCTCTCCCTCTCTCTAAAGAGAGACAATTGACATATACCATTGTATTAGTTTTACAACATAATGATTTGATATATGTATATGTTGCAAAATGATCACCACAGTAAGTTTGGTTAATAATTAACATCCATCACGGCACATAGTTGCATTTTTTTTCCTTGTGATGAGAACTTTTAAGATCTATTCTCTTAGTTGTCCTGTCTCTTTAAGCTCCTCTTGGCTGGGCAGGTTCTCAGACTTTCCTTGTTTTTGATGATCTTGATGGTTTTGAGAATGACTGGACAGATGTTTGGTAGCATGTCCCTCTGTTGAAATTTGTCTGGTATTTTTCTCATGATAGTACCAGGATGATGGGTTTGAGGGAGGAGGACCGAAGAGGGAAAGTACCATTCTCATCACGCATATCAAGTGTACGTACTATCAGCTTTATCTGTGCCTGTTGATATTGGCCTTCGTCACTTGAGTTATTATTTGTCAGGTTTCTCTACTATAATTTACTTTCCTCCCGCTTACCTTTGGAAGGAAGTCACTATGTGCAGCCCACATCTAGAGTGGAGACATGTGTTCCCCTCCATATGGGTGGATAGCTACGTAAACTATTTGGAATTCTTCTGCATGAAAGACTTGAGTCTTCTTCCCCCCATTTATTAGTTTATCTAATCATTTGATTATATCAATATGGCCTCCTGGATATTTATACTCTGGGTTATAACTCAGTACTGCTTTATTTATTTTGTGCTTAAATTGCTCCATCTTTGGCCACTGGGAGCCCTTTCAGTTGGTTCCTTTGGCCATTGACACGTTGTATTACACAACATGTATGACAGATGTTTTGGTTTGGGTTTTTTGTTTATTTGTTTCCTTTGGAGCACTTCCTTATTTTCTGTTACTACAAGATGCTCCAGGCTCAATTTGTATATTTCCTGCCCTAGTCCTAGCATCAGCCATTTCTCCAAGCCTGGTTCTTTTTAGTAGAGAACAGTGTTAGAAACCAAGATCTGGGCACTCAGAGTGCTCGTTGCTACTGGGGTGTTGCTTCTTTTAGGTTATCAATACTTTGTAACCGCCCATAATGCAGCTGGTATAGATGCTCAGCCCTGGGGATACACCAGTGACCAGATGTGGCAAGTGCCCTCGTGGAACTCACAGTCATCTTGGGAGAACAGGCTTAAGAGGGCAGCTCCAACACTGAATAGCTGTGCAACCTTGGGCAGGTTGTTTAATCTCTCTGAACTTCAGCCTCCCCTTCCATGAAATAGGGGTGAGCATAATACTTTATGAGGGCACTGTGAAAACTAAATGAAATCACCCACTTTTTTTTTTCTTTTCCATTATGGTTTATTACAGGATATTGACTATAGTTCCCTGTGCTATATAGTAGGACCTTGTTGTTTATCTATTTTATATATAGTGGTGTATATCTGCTAATCTCAAACTCCTGATTTACCCCCCTACCCTTGGTTTCCCCTTTGGTAACCATACATTTGTTTTCCTTGTCTATGAGTTTGTTTCTGTTAAATAAATAAATTCACTTGTGTCATAGTTTAGATTCCACATATAAGTGATATCGTATGATATTTGTCTTTCTTTCTGACTTACTTCACTTAGTATGATAATCTCTAGGTCCAACCATGTTGCTGCAAATGGCATTTCCTTCTTTTTATGGCTGTGTAGTATTCCATTATGTATATATACCATATCTTCTTTATCTAGTCATTTGTTGATGGACATTTAGGTTGCGTCTATGTCTTGGCAGTTGTAAGTAGTGCTGCTATGAACATTGGGGTCCATGTATCTTTTAGAATTAGTTTTATCTGGATATATGCCCAGGAGTGGGATTGCTGGATCATATGGTAAGTATTTTTAGTTTTTTTAAGGAACCTCCGTACTGTTTTCCATAGTGGCTGCACCAAACTACATTCCCATCAACAGTGTGGGAGGGTTCCCTTTTCTTCACACCCTCTCCAGCATTTTTTGTTTGTGGGCTTAAAATGATGGCCATTCTGACTGGTGAAATCACTCACTTTTCAAATCTCTGAAACAGAGCCTGGCATAAAGCACTTATTAAGTCTTATTCTTATTAATAATAAAAAGAAATTACACAAATAATTACACTCTGCAGAGGTTCGGAGTGCCAGCAAAGTGTGTAACAGGAGGACCTGACTTCTGTTGGGGGCAGCCAGGGAAGACTTGCCAAGTCAGTAGTGTTGCAGCTGAGACAGGAAGGGCAAGTCACCGGGCAAAGGGGAGCAGAATGTTTCAGGTAGCAAGAACAGCAAATGCAAAGGCCCTGAGGCAGGCAGGAGCCTGGCACACTTAGGAACTGAGAAAAGGCTGGTGGCTCATAGGATTGAAAGGGGTAGGATACATAAGGTCTGGCTGGTCATGGTGAGTTGAGATACCCTGTCCTAAGAGCAAGTGAGGTGACTTGTCCAAGTGCACATGTCTAGTAAGGACAGAGCCCAGAGTTGAATCCAAGTTTACTTAGTCCCAGAGAACTTTTATTTCCCTGGTCTGAATTTGAGATAGGAGTTCTTATTTTTTGCTTTTTGTTTTTTCAGTAAGAAGCATAGTTTTGGTTCTTAAGGCTCAGAATCAGAGTACACTTCAGCCACCAGAGTCCCAGGTGGTTCTTGTCACCCCTCTAAGCACACAGGAGGATCTGTGCGATCAGGAGACACAAAGGCAACTCGGCTTGGGTTCCTGCCCTTGAAGACATCACTGCCCCGAGACAGAGGAGGACGCATGCACCCAGCCAATGTGACAAGGGCTAGGTACAGAACACTGCCTCCCACGAGGGCCATGGCTGAGCAGGAGGACAGTAAGACGAAGGGGCTGCCAGCCAGAGGGACTGGCCGGAGCACAGGCATAGCTTTCTCCCAGAGGATGGTTCAGGGAGCAGGGAGCAGTAGACACACTCGACACAGCTTGTGAGGGAAGTGGACAGTGAGGTGGGATTGGAGAGATGTCTGTGTCCGGCTGTAAAGGACCCCAGAGAGTCAGGCAGAGAACTTGAGATTTTACACATCAGACCAGGAGTTGGCAGACTACAGCCTGCTTCCACTCACACCTTTTCTTGTATAGCCTGTGAGCTGCCAATGATTTTTCCATTTTTTTAAATGGTGGGGAAAAAACCGAGAGAAGTAGAGCATTTTGTGACATGAGAAAATTCCATGAAACGCAGTCTCAGCGTCCATCAAGCCTGATAGTAACACGGCCACAGCTGTCATCTGCGTGTTGCCCGTGGCTATATTCAGGCCACCACGGCAGAGGCAGACTTGCTCCAGCAGGACCTGCTTCGGGGCTGCACAAATGAGGCAACCACACAGGGCCCTGCACTTCCTGCTGCAGCTGTTTTGAAATGCTTCACCTACAAATGGAGGAGCCGCATATTTTTATCTTGCACCAGGTTCCAAAAATCATCTAGCCGAGAGGTCGTATGGCCCACAAAGCCTAAAATGCTCACTATCGAACCCTTTTCAGAAAAAAGTAGGCTAATCTTGCTGTGGTGAGCAGAGTAACAGGCCCCTCAGAGAGGTCCACGTGCTAATCTCCAGGACCCTGTGAAGAGTTCTCTGACCTGGCAGAAGGGACTTTGCAGATGAGATACAGCTCTGAAGATGGGAGGTGGTCTTGGATTATCTGCATGAGACCAATGTAATCACAAAGGCTCTTACCAGAGGGAGGCTGATGGATCAGAGGAGCTGTGACAGTAATAAGCAGAGAACTGATGCCTTTGACATGTTTGGAGGTGGAGGAAGGGACCAGGAGCCATGGAATGTATGCCTCTTGAAGCCGGAAAAGCCCAAGAAACAGATCCTCTCCTGGCACCTCCAGATCGCAGCCCAGCCGGTACCTGCATTTTTAGCCTGGTAAGACTAACCTTGGACTTCTGACCTCCAGGACCGTAAGATAATAAATGTGTGTCGTTTGAAGCCACCGGGGTTGTAGTAATTTATTACAGCATCCACGGGGCACTGATACACTTGCCATGGGCAGTGAGTACCTAGAAGAATTTGCCTTTCAGCCAAAGAGAGTTTTAAATGAGACAGTCACATGATTCTTTGCTGATTGATTGGAAGGGAACCAGAAGCAGGGGTGCTGTACACACTTCAAAGGAGGGAGATGTCACCGCAAGAGGCTGTCACGACAGCCGGCTGGAGAGATGTCAAAGCAGGCATGGGGTGGGGTATAGAGAGAAGGAGGACTCCAGATGTTCCAGAGGCAGGACCACTGAGACTTGGCAGCAGGCAGGCGTGGACAAGGTGGTAGCCCGAGTCATCAGACCCAGTGATATGGGGGAAAGCCGCGACATCTGAACCATTTCCAGGGCTCCGAACATGGGTGGGGGTTATTTGGGGGACACAAGAAATAGGTTTAAACGTCAGGGGAGCCATTCATGGGTCACCTCTGTCTGGGAGGCATCGAAGCGGAGCACCCATCCTGAGAACCAGAAGCCTGAACAAGCCCAAAGAGCCTTCAGGCACCCAAGCCCTCTGGGACCCCGACTTCAACCTGATTCCGTCTCAAGTGCTGAGTAGGCCAGTTCTACAGAAAACTGGGAAGCTTTATTTCATTTTCCCCAGGCAGTTGAGTTTCTTTTCAGGTCGGCAGCACTTTGGAGGTCACATCCCCGATTACTTCAAGTTGGAGGAGCAGGAAGCCATGGGCCCTGGCTTCTTCCAGGCGTGGGTCCCCGAGGCGCTGTGTGTGCATTTCTGACCCAGAGAGCCTGGCCCTGGAGCGGGCCTAGAAGCGTGGGGCTTTTGTCCAGGGGCTGCTTTGCCCATCACCTCCCCTGGCCTCCCTTGTAAAATTCAGGTGGCGTGGTCACCTCGGGAACACATGGAGGGCAGGCCCCTAGGAGAGCAGCTGACGCCCAGGATGGTCATGGCGCAGACCCATAAAGAAAATTGTATTTAACACCCTGGAGAGCAGGAAGGGCTCGCCTTCCCGTCTCAGGGTCACGGGTCCTCGAGTGCCATGGCGTGGGTCACTGACCTGAGTGAACTCAGTGAGTTTCGGTTTCCAGACGACCTTCCTGGATCTGACCCGTGACCCTTCCACTCAGTGTCCTGGCCAGAACAGCAGTGGCGTTTTATCTCTTGTGTCAAAGGTTAGAATTGTGCTGTTGATGGTGATCACTTTCACTTCCACTTCCACTGTCATCCACCTTGTTCTCACCAGTGACTCAGGAGCAGCCACTGTTACTTTTTTTCTTTTTTAAAGATTTCTGGGGGTTTTTTGATCCAACGGTTCTTTTTCATGCCCTACGGGTTCTTCTTAATGTCTTGCGCTTATTTTGTTTTTAATGGAGATACTGGGGATTGAACCCAGGACCTCATGCATGCTAAACACGTACTCTGCCACTGAGCTATACCCTCCCCTCCTTGTTCTTGCTTTGTCTCTAAATGCCTTGTGTGTATTTGTCAGGCTTGTTGCAATGCTTCTTAAAAAAATTAAGCAAAAATTCAGTGGTTTCTAGTATATTCACAAAGTTGTGCAAACCTCGCTACTGTCTCATTCCAGCACATTTTCATACCTCCAGAAAGGAACTCCATGCCCGTTAGCAGTCTGTGCCCAGCCCCTGGCAACCACCAGTCTACTTTCTGGCTCCATGGATTTGCCTGTTCTGAACTCTTCCCCTAAATGCAACCATACGATACATGGCTTTTTGTGTCTGGTTTCTTTCACTGAGCATCATGTCTTCAAAGTTCATCAGTGTTGTGTGATTTAGTACCTTATTCCTTTTTAGGACTGAATAATATTCCACTGTATGGATGGACCACATTTTGTTTATCTATTCATCCATCAGTGGACATTTGGGCAGTTTCCTCCTTTTGACTTTTGTGAGTCACGCTGCTGTGAACATTCATGGACAAGTTTTTGTATGAACATATGTTTTCATTCTTCTTGGGTAAATAACCCAGGATTGGCAAGGTTGGGTCCCACAGTAACTTTCTGAGGAAACACCAGACCGTTTTCCCCAGTCTTTTCTTTATAAATGAGATGGAGGCTTATCAGTGGTTGGCAGGTGCTCAGTCTGCTGTGACACGACCGTTCTCCAGCCCTGCTCCTTGTCCAGCATCCTATGGGAAGCAGGCCAAGGGCCCACGAGTTTGCCAGGGTCCGCCTGCAGGGTGCCTCCCACCTGCCCCGATGGACCGGGACGAGTGCACCACGGATGGTGTTCCCGTGACCAGCCTCTGCCCAACCCTGGCAACTCCCACATTCCATGTAGCACAGACCCCCAAACCACCCAGCTTCCCAGACAAAAGTTCCAAGAGCACGGCCAGCAGCATTTCTTGGAGCGCTCAACGCGCATTAACCTCTGATCATGCACAGTTAGGAACACGTTGCACCTGAGGAACAAGCCGGG